CACAAAGTTGTGAGGGAAAGAAGGAAAAGCTTCAGGCAGCAGAGATAGAGCTGGGAGGCAGCACACAACCTGACTCACCTGCAGTGACACACAGGACAGGCAGCCTTGGTTAGGAAAGAGGAATTCTAACTTCCTTGCCCTCCCGAGGTGCTGCCAGGCACTCAGGCTGTCACTGCTCTTTCTCCCCAGGGAGCTGGTGAGCAGGCTGCATCAACGAGGGGTCCAGGTCTTCCTGGTCTCAGGGGGCTTTCAGAGCATCGTGGAGCACGTGGCAGCACAGCTGAACATCCCAACAGCAAACATCTTTGCCAACAGGCTGAAGTTTTACTTTAACGGTGAGATTCCCTCCAAGTCTCTTCTCTTTGCTAATTAATGCCACTGGTTTGGTTCAAACTGTCAGATACTGGGCTACAGATACTGGCCCAGCCTGTATACCTGGTTACCAACCCAGCTAGCTCCAAGTTGGAAAATTTCAAGACCTTATGGAAAACATGAGTTCAGGTCATTTCCCAGCTGCAGTTACTTTTTAATTGCAAGCTGTGCCAAAGGTAGAACAAGTACAGCTGCTGACAGCAGAGTTTTTTTCTCTTAAAAAGACTGGAGGAGACTTACCTGCTCAGAGAGAACTTCATTCTAACCCCAAGGTAAGTCTGGAGCCCACTGGGGTTAGTGGAGCTGCTCTGGACTCTAAGCTGGTGTAATCACACAGAACTGTGGTTAGTGAGGTTGGTTCTTAGTGTCTCACACACTGTCTACACATCACACTGGATGCTGCTTTGGAAACGTTTATACCAGAATGACTGGACCAGAGTGATTGGGGGTGGATCTGTAACACTATCCATGCAGGGGCTCTACTTTTGTCTCAGCATTTCAGCCCTTTAAAACATCCCCACTGCAGATCCTAGTGTTCATGTTTACCTTCTAATGCCTTCTTGGGGATGCTGATACTGTGAGTCTTACAGGACTGCCTGCAATTACCCATTTTCTGCAGTAAAGATCCTAAGCATAAATCTTCTTGCATTTACAAGAAAATATGCTGTGTCTGACTTGTCCTTCCATTGTGTTGTAGGAGAATATGCAGGATTTGATGAAACACAACCAACAGCTGAATCAGGGGGGAAAGGAAAGGTTATTACTCATCTGAAGGAACAGTTCCACTTTAAGAAAGTAGTTATGATTGGAGATGGAGCTACAGACATGGAGGCCTGTCCCCCTGGTGTAAGTATTAAAGAACTGGAATTCTAAATTCCTTTTGAGCAAATCCTTTTGGGGGAAATGGAACAAACCCTGAGAGCTGCTGCTGCTGGGAGCTGTGACAGCAGGTCCTTATCTATTCCATGTGTAGATATTGCTAAGATCCCAGCAGCTTAGCACTGGCTGAATGCTTTGACCTGAAGGCAAAAAGAAGCAATGGAAATTTTAAACACTGCACTTTCACTGCAGATGGTCTTCTAAGATGTAAAGATGATGACTGTTTCTGGTTAATGATTGAAGACATGGTTAATGTTTACTTTTGGTATCTATCAAATGAGGTAAACAGAGTGAAGATAAACAGGACAGGCAGAACTGAGAGATGCTGTGTATCTGTTGGAGCATTAACTCCTTCCTGAGCAGTGAGGCCTGATGCTGCACCACATTGACATCAGATTTCCAGTAAAATCTCAAATCTGAACAATCCTGAAGTTAGGAGGCCCCGAGACGCAACTCTCCTATTGAAACACAACTCTAATAACCAAAGTTAATTAAGTTCCTGTTCATAAATCTGAAAAATGAACATGCAAAGGAAAATAGGGACAGGGAGGAATTGCATAATTTAAAAAAACAATCTTAAAGACAATCCTAATTGCTAAGAAGCTCCATTCCTTACGCGGGACTGCAGTAATACGTGCTGATTCTTTCTGTTTTGCCAGGACTGCTTCATTGGATTTGGAGGAAATGTAGTCAGAAAGCAAGTGAAGGAGAAAGCTAAATGGTACATTACTCACTTTGATGAACTGCTAAAGGAGCTGGAAGAACGATAAATTATCCTGTAAAGTAATATATTTAACAACTGTAAATCCATTATACAATGCAATTAAACATTTATTTGTTTGCAAAGATTTGTCTTGGACTTTTCAATTACTCTGGGTGTTGGGTACCTTCATCTCTGGCCTGAAACCTGTGTTGCACATGCCACCATTCTACTCAAACATTTTGTAATGAAAATGGTTGGATTTTTTCAAACATCTCTTCCTCTGTGGAAGAAGGCAGTTGATGATCCCCTCACAAGTGAAGGCCAAAGGTAGGAAATTATCAGTAAGTTAAAAATACCTTAATGGACTGGACCCTGGTCAATATTGCTTATCTATCGTTTCAGAACCATTGAAGCTAATACCTCTACTTGTTTTGGGTGGCAAAAAAAGATTAAGGGGGCCACAAATGATAAGTTTGTCTAATCAATAATCATAATAAATAACCATATACTCAACTGTAATAATATAGTCTATAAAGGTAAACAGTATCCATTCCAAACAACCTCAGAGCTAGGTTAAACAGTGAACAGGTAGGCAAGAAACACTACTAAGCATCTCTGATTTCATTAAAATACAGCTACAGGAGACCTGTGATGTCACCTGTTTGCTCAACAGCCCTGCTACTCCACCTGCAGTCTGAAAAACATGAGATGCCTGCACACTTGACATGTGTGCAACTCACCAGCACAAGAAGCCTGTGTTCAGGTGTGTGCTCCACTGCTTCCCACACCCCACTAAAATACTTCAGTCTGAACTACAAAATGGTCACACTGTTCATTTTATTTATTTAACAATCTCTCTCATTAACCTGTAATTGGATGGAAGCTAATTCTACTGATGAGGAAAATACTGTGAAACTTACCTAGTCTCTTTCTCAACCATGGATCAATCACCCTTAAACTGCTTGTGCCAATTCTCCTCCATCCCACTACACATTTCACAGACAGGAAGAGAAACAAGTGATGTGCCTCCAAGATCTCACACTGTCTCCACAAGATAATCACAGGTAGTCACAACTTCCACTAGATTTCCCTAATCTATTAAGATTAAATCAAGGTGCAATGAGAAAGCTCCTTCCCATTGCTGGAACATCATCAACAATTAAACCAAATAAGGGGTCTGTCCACTTTGTGACATCACCAGAAAGGATAGAGGGGAAAGAGGCACCATGAAAGCCCCAGAGATGAAGAATGCCAACTCTTAGTGATGCCATCTCACGGTTTCAGCCAAAAGCTGAGACAATAATTGCTTGAAGATACAACTGCATTTTAATACTACAGAAGTAGGAGGGTTGAAAGCAAATCCAGAAGCAAATTTCTGATGGCTTTTTAGAGAAAACATAAGCAGCTCTACTGAGTATCTGCATACAGAATTTTAAAAGCTTCCCAAAAGCCAAGGCAGACAATAGTTGCTAGGCTGCTCACCAGACCTCTTCTGGGAGTATTAGGGATGATCTCTTTTAAATTTCTTCCTGAGAAAAATCTCTGCCAGCTCCAAGGGCAGCTCATGCACAATCATGCTTTTGTTCAGCCAAGACTGCATGAGCAGAACAAGTTTAAGTTCTTTTTTGCTCTCATTCAGTGTGTTTCTCTGCAGTTCTACAGTTACGGGGTGGAAGTGTTTGCTTTATTGAATTTAAAAAAACACCTAATGTCCAGGTAATCAGCTATAGCTACAGACCCTGATCCTGCAAACATTGTGAGAGGCTCCACTTGGAGCCCCTGTCATTCCAGAAATGCTGCAGCCAGGAGCCCGTGCAGGAGACTCAGTGCCACAGAAATGTTAACATTCACAGCAGTATCTGCTGCCAGTCTGAGAGCTGTGGAAACATGGCATCGTGCCAGGGATTTCACAAGAGCTCTTTAGGTCTGACTGGTTTGAAAAAAAAAACCAAAAACCATCACCTCCCTCCCACTGAGCAAATATCAAGCCTGACCTCTAGTCCAGGAGGTACCAAAAGGATTACTTAGCTTACTGAGTGGCTAAGCTCTTCTGCCTGTAAAACACTGGGGGGAAAAATACTCCATAATAAACACTGCAAGGTGAGAGAACACAGGTGGTGCAACACATAGGAGGTGCCAGTAAAATGTGAAAATTAAAAGGATTTTATTGACTGATATGTTCTTCCTGAAAACTCATTGAAATGTACAAACGGGACATTGAGTGACTGATTTGTACATTCTGAATGGTACACTGACTTGTCACCACTTTAAGGGAAAGACTGTTATTTTCACTTACAGGATGTTTTACATCATTGCAGACACCAAAAGTGTTGATATATGCTAGACTAAAAGTGAAACCAAACCAGAACTGGACAGAATGGTGCCAATCCCATCGACTCACATGCGGCAGTTTCACACACCAACCCATGAGCACCTACTGTACAGGCAGTGAAACACCCGACCAAGCGTATGTCTGAAGTCATGATTGCTTATTAAATTAAACCCCTTTTCCTAGATTCCCAACCTATTTGTAAAGATAAAGGTATTTAACTGAACTTGATTCCCTGCAGAATGTTCAGACAACCACATCTTGTCAGTATCTGTTTGTTGGAGGTCACTTCACGAAATTCATTTCAGGTGTAGATACCTACATAGAGGTGCAATTATTTCAACAGGCTTCAGAGTCTTTGCAGATCAGCCTGCCCTGCTCTCTGTCCATACCTATCACCTGACAATCAGCATTATCCTCAATGACTGCCTATTAGTAAATTCAGAGGTCCTTACTGATTTTAGGCATGCTAGAACAGCTGGGTGTATTTCAGAGCTACTCAGGGGCTTCAGGCTCCTCATTTCACAACTCCCACAGTTGTGTTCCACATCTACAGCCACTGTCACGCTCCACAAAGGCCACAGAAACTGCAACCCTGCCTTCTGGTGCTGCTGCTGACCAGGGGCACTGGCTGTGGAGCAGAAGGAATTAAATACTGCATGCCAAACTTAACCTGAGTAGCTGTCTCACAGAGGAACTCAGATATGTCTTTGTACTTGTTCTCAATTAACCAACCGTTTAATTACAGTCCTACATTTCTTTTTTTCCAAGTACAATCCTAAAAGCAAAAGGTCATTAGATTCTGAAGAAAAGAGGTCTCTTTTATAAGCTGAATACAGTACTTTTATATTTCAGACTATGATATACAACGTATACCATAAATTAATTTAAGACAAATACTTGTCACTTTATCTATGTAGGCACAAGTAAATCAGTGACTTTACTGAAGTGGAGAAATCTTCAACGGTATCATGATTCTGGACTCCATTTCCTGAATAAGGGGCACTGAAAAAAATTGAGACAGGGTTTAATTTCACTAACAGAGATCATCAACCATTCTGCACACTCAGTTTGAACAGATATTATTGTCTTCAAATTACTCTCCTAGCTAGTGCATGCCAAGTCATCAGTAACCACAACATCCCTAGAACTGAATCACAGTTCAGAGAGCAAGTGGTTTTAAAATATAACCTGTCTGCTTCTTTGAAGACAAATATTCCTATTCCTTTTCACCTTAATGAAAGTTATCTTACATTTTTCTGGTATACTTCCTGTGAAAGGAACCCTATGGAACCAAAGTCTGACATGCTCAGCATGCTTTTCTGAGTTTTGCTAGGAAAACTAGCAAAACTAGCTCTTTGATCCCAAAGAACTTCTGGCTTTTAGCTCTGAAATTTAAATCCTCTTTCCAAAGGAATGATTTAACAAGGCTCCCATATTTCATGAAATAATGGGGGTAGTAACAAATGTCACTATTGGCTCCTTAAAATTTGGAAACATTTACACAAATCTGTTCCTCCACAAGAGGTGCTTTTATAAACATATACTATGAAGCTAGCAATTTTGTTAGGTAATAGTGTCCCTTGCAGTAGAAAAACTGACACACAGACCCACACACCAGAGATACAAAATGTTTTATCACTGTGCAATGCACTGAAGCACAAAAACGATGGCATGCACAAAGACGATCTCCAGCATTCCAGTGAAGTTAATAGGTTACCTGTGTAATAGACTAGTTCATCCCAGCCAGGTTTATTCCAGGCAGCATTCCTTATATCTTCTCTGGTCTGGAGATCTTTGTAAGCTGGGGAGGGAAAACAACAAGCACAAAGCTTACAGGCAACTCCTTTTCCTTCTACACATGAATAGCTCCTTAAAAGTGTTCTAGCATGCAATTAGGAGGCTGCAAACACTGGGAAGGAAAAAAGTCAGAAGTTCTTCTCCACAAAGAGGAAAAACTCCTAAACCAACGCAAACGGGAGGAACTGGGAGAGAGAAAGTCTTCAACACAGGTAAGACAGAGAATGCTACAGGGTACAGCTCTACACCAGATTCTTCATGCTGGAACATAATATTTTGCATTGTCGAGATGGTAAGATAATGCTGCTTATTTTCTCAACAAATATTAGATGATGAGCTTATTCAAGCTGTAGCAAACCTAAGGTGTGAAAAGCAGCTAAGGATTTGTGGAGACTACCACACAGAAAGGCAAACCACCAGGATGTAGTGATCTAAATAAATGCTTGGTTTTCCTTTTTGCAGGGGTGCTATATGTGATGCTTCAGAGCAAACTGTAAAAACCTGACTCCAGCATGAATGGGGACAGAGAAAAGATGTGGCAGGATGTGGCTTGTCAGGCTTATGTTACTGAAAGCAAACAAGTCCCTGGTAAGAAAGGGCCACGAGAAACTTGCTGGGAGCAGAACAAACATGACATGCTCACTTCTGCTTGCTTGTTTGAAGACTAAAGTTACCTACACAAAATTTAAGAAAATCACGCTATTGATGCAAAACAAAAAGCCTTATTAAGACACTTCTTTGCCCTTTGTAAAAACTTTGTCTCCTGGGCAAAGTTAGGAGTCTGTTGGGGGCTGATTCAGTGAGAAAAAAAGCAGAGAACACAAATTTACCCCAGAGGTGATGAACCATATACAGCTGTCCAATTTGGGAGAAAAATCCTCCAACTGCTTCATTACTATCCTGTCGGAAACGAATTGCACGAGCCCTGCAGAAGAGCAAAGCAGTGATTAGAAACAGCAGATCTGGGTAGGAAACAGGTGGTAATTGAAAGGAAAACAAGAGTTGAAATGTTCAACAGCATGGGCAGTACACTGCAGCAATTAGAAATGAGAAAACAATCTACAATGCACTGATTTTCAGTACTAAATAATTAAAATATACCTAACAACCTGTTAGAATGAGTTAAACTGGAGGCCTAGAGTTGCACTAGCCTGTGCACTAAACATTCTTCAACAGTAGGGTCAGTATAAAGACAACTGCTGGAAGAGTGTGAAGTGGCAGGCCATTTGTACAGCAGATTCCTTTAAAACTAAATCCTCAAGTTTGAGTCATATTGTCTTTGCCACACTCATTTACCATAGATTTTGTGGTAGCAGAATGTAGCTTTTAAAGTATTCATATATATTATTAGACCTTTGCTAAGCAACACCCCATGATGCGTTGTGTAAATAAGATAAAGATCTCTCTTAACTATAAATCTGCTGCATCCTCTGCAACAGGCTGGCTACCACTATAGGTATTCCTTTTTAATTAAAGTCCTAAATTCAATTTACTTTATTCAAATCACTGTCATTAAATAACTTCTATTGATGACGATGAGACTTTTGAAAATCCAAGTCCCCAGCTTTGTCAAAATAATTGAAAATACTCCGACTTGTTTAATTACCATTAGAACTGCAAAGACAGTGAGTATAAATTGAAAGAAACTTACACTTTCAATAAGACAAAATCAGAAGCATATACTCTACAGAAGACTGTGAAATGCTTCAACCCATATATTAAAATACAAATATGCTACTAAATAGTTTTGCAAGAAGCAACTTGACTTTTAAAGAAGAGCCAAGATTTAGCCCTTTTAAACTAAAAGTAAGGCAGCTTCTCATAGTCCTAAAAATTCAACATAGTCTAAAGGGCTTAACTGCCATCCTTCACTAAGCATAAATAAATGAAAAGAAGTGGTTTCTGCTACATTATGTCAAACTAGAAGGATTATGTGCAGGAAAACCAAATCACAGAGGCCACAATGTTGTTTACACACAGAATTCCTCTCTTTCCCCAAAGGACAAATGAAGGGTCAAAGAACTATCTCACAGGTTGCATAAGTACAGAACAGGCCATTAACCGGTGACTGAGACACCCTGGTCACATTCTGCTGCCTCCATTTCACAATTTTAAACCTCTCTTAAATGGGAGGATGCAAGTGCTAAAGCAACACTTACCAGTAATTTCCCCACTCAATCATTGTTCCAGGCTACAAAAACAAAACAGACTGTTAAAACTGTAGTTTGAAGACTTTGAAGTTAGAATTCTCAGACAGTTTCCACAACATTTACTTACAGAAAACACTATGTATTAACAAAATCACTTCCTTCAAGTGATAATCATGTTATAATCATCTGTAATTACTTGATTTACTGTATTACTTCTTAGTCATTTGCCTGAAGCTTTCCTCAAATGAAAACACAGGGTTCTCAGTCCTGCAGATATTACTATCTTGCTGGAGCCTGCCTTCATCCTGGACCCCACACTTTGACAGCAACAATGATTCAGCTTTTTAAGATGAGCTTTGTTCCCCATCTGCACTGTATAAACATGCTTTGAACATTTTACAACAGCCCGGAGCTCCAAAAAAAAAAATTAAAAAAAAAAATAATTAAACTTACTCTAAGTTGATAGGATCTCAGTTCATAAATATTAGGACCCGCTCTGGGAACAGGTTCATTCCAGAAACTAAACTCCAACAGCAGCTGGTTCTTGCGGGAGAGAAGCATGTTCCCTCTTTCCTTGCGAAACTCCGTGAACTCCTAAAAGCCAAAGGCAGCACCCTCAGACCGTGGGGTATGTTTCAACACCACAAAGCAGAGCACCATAGAGTAGCTTAGGTTATTTGGTTTATGCTCTCCTGGTGTTTAGAGGTACTGAAATCCTGTAAGTTGTCAAGGCATCTGAATTCCTGTGGTGTCTCTGAAGATCTCAAGTGCACGTTAGCACAGCACCAAGTGTGTTCCATGAACTATTCTGGTGTCAAACCTCAGGGCTTCTGAACAGGAGAATAAAGCCTTTTCCAAAGAGGTTTCTAAGTCTGTGCAGGAAGTGATGAGACTTAAGTGGGGTCTACAAATGTGCATTTTTTTTTGCTCCATTCTTTGTTCTCTTGAGTCAAATAACCAATTCTAACCAAATCAATGTGGTTTACCTTGTTCTGACGGAGTTTACTCATGACCTCATTGAGAGCTGGATAACCCCCCTCATATCTCCACAAGTGAACTGCAACAGAAAAAAGGAACCTCTTTCAGGCAAGTCACAGCAGTGCTAAAGCTTATGGTATAAAATTCTCTTTATACTACAGAATTATACAAAAATAGAATTCAGGTAGCAGGTTTAAGAATCAATTTTCATTAAAGAAAGTGCTACACATCTGAGCATTTTAAGACTAATGGAATCATCTGCTTTTTAAAAAGGATTCTCTCAGAAAATTTGGCAATCTACTCTGAAGATAAGGGAAATTTCTGAAAGGCCTTTTTGTTGCCATGCTAGTAAGATGGGATGACTTTACATGACTGTAGTTGAAACATTAAATTTAAGAGGGTGACTCAATTCCAAAAATCTGTTTTATACTAATTTCATCTGAGAGCAACAGAGGGGTAGACTTTTTACTTCAGTAAATTACTCAAGCACAAAGAGAAAAACACTTTCTGTAGGCCATGAAAAATGATGCATATGTTCTTTTTGAGGTAAAGATTACATTAAAAAAGCAAAAGCTATCTGAACATGCTAAACCATGATACGTGTCAGGATTTTACCCATAACAACTTCAAGAACAGGGATCTACATTTGGGTTTTTTCACAAAGGACTCTCTTCAATAAACCATAATACATCCCTTCAATATATCATAATGAGATTATTAACCAGCACTTAATATAGCAAGGCAACAATGTTTCACCTTGAAGAGTCACAAAAGCTATTTTCTCCCCTCTAAAGCAATCTTGTGCCTTTTCCAGGAGAGCAAACTCAAGACTAATGCAAGGCACTTCACATGACAGCAGCTTCATCCTGTGTGCCTGCTTCTGCTGCCTTACCCCAGGGCAAATCTGATGTATCCACCTAATATTAACACAGCCTGGGCACAAGTACTGAACAAGCAATCCCCCATAATCTGCTTCATTACACTGCAAGAACTGTTACAATAACATTTTCAAGGCAGGCTATGGATGCAATTACAGATCCAGTCTCTGTTAATCCCTTACAAAAGCAACAACTGAGACTTGGCTAAAATATTCTCATTTAAATTGCCTTCATTCCCCAACTTCACTTCAAAATTTTAACTGGTTCAGATATTTTGTTTATCTAATGTTATTTCTTTGGATTTGTTAAATTTCAATATTGATATATGCTGTGAATGCAGGAAAAACTGTGTACACAACTATATTTTTCAATAATGAGGCAATGACCTTGATCCCAGCACAGCTCCAACAGTGGAGCTAGATAACAAACTACATAGCAAATATCAGCACACCACTCTCTACTGGCAGCTTCCTATTCCTTCTATTTCCCAAAGTCCAGAACATTTTTCAGGTTCTCTCTCTACACTAGACTCTGTGTAGCTACCTCTGTAGCAGCTCTTCAGTCATTTCCAATTCAAACTTATTTTCAGTTTGCATAGTTAGGCAGTATGTTTATATGAATACAAACAGAAATATTTCTCCTTTCCTCCACCACAGGTAGCTAAGTGTTGGGTGTGCCATGCAATAATATTTTCAGATGGCATGAATTTTTCCCTCTTATTTTCACACAGCAATTGAAGTAGGGAAGTCTGAGTAAAGCTTTTATACTGCCCAATGCAAGATAAACTCTGTAAGCCTTCGCCTTTAAATATTCAGGAACATGATCTGTGCCTGCAAAATACTGCAGGACCACACTTCACAAGCATTTCCCAAAGCTGTTATTCTATCACCTAGAAAACATGCAAGTGCATTAACAATAGGACAAGTTTTAGGAATCAATGCTTGACTGTCAAACTCAACAAGACAAAAAGCAAGCACTGGACATGTTAATATGACTGCTGGTAACTGAAGCACACACACCCTCACTACAGACATTGCTTAAGGTTTTATTGTCAACAGAGATGATTGAAAGAGAAGAAACCTGCCAAGCACACGTTTCACTTGTATGGTTTTACATTCTGTTGTACTTCTATCTCCTACCAGCCTGATCTTGCTCTCCGTACCACGTGTTCCAAGTCCCCACCAGTGCACATGGGTAGTGTTTTTCTTCATGAATCTTTGGCAGCACCTCTTGACTTGAAAACAAGGAATACAGACACTGTGTTGCATTTCCTCAGGGAGGCTACAGTTGATATGTATAACAAATCACCACACGTTTAGCATTATGGTATGAAAATTCACAAGCTCTAGTTTTCTGAAAAGAAAGCTGAAATACAAAGCTCTGCTATACAAGGGAAAGGGAGCTACAACTTGATAAGAAATTTAAGGTGTTTCTTAGACTGCATGACAAGTACACAGCATGGTAGAATTCTTTCAATGCAATAAATTACATCTCTCACTGAAAAGCTCATCCAACACATTAGGAAAATAAATATCAGGATGTCTTACAGAAAACACAGCCCATCTAGCTGGGTGATTTGCTTTAGGAAAAGCTTTTCTGTACCAAGTGAGGCAGAATGCACAAAACTAGCAAAGGACAGTCTGCTGTCCCAGGTGCAGTGCTATTACTTCTCTTGAGCTGCACGAATAAAACCAAGTATTTTCACAGATTAAATGATGCCTGTACTCCACAGTGTGCATTTTATTGCTTTCTACCATTTCAGAAAGTGGTCTTAGTTTAAAGCAACTTGCCCATTAATGCATGCAGTGAAACTGCCTTAAAAATACCTCCAGCACAGTATTTCAGTTTGACTAGTGCCAGTACTTCAAGCTTCTTCTTTTTTTTTTCAAATTTTAGAAGCGGCCTAATTAGCATTAGGAAATTAAGTTTTACTGATTGCTGACTCAGTTAAGACAGCTTTCACTGTACTATACTCTGAGGAATAAGTCAATTAGTCTGGTTCAAATTTGCCTTTCAGTATTTCTCCCTAAATAATTACCCCTCTTCCTCAGTTTGGCTGATAGTATGAAAAAAGAAGAAGCAGGATGGTCTTGGGCTGAGAGTCATTAGATGTGTTTTCCTCTTCATCCTGCTACTGACTTTCTAGACAACCTTGAGCAAATCTCATTACCCATCTGCACCTCCAAGCTTCTCACTACACAGTGTAAATAATATGATAGAATGACTCTCCAAGGATGTTTTCAAGGGTGTTTGACCACCAGTTTATTTCTACAAAGCATGAAATTCTAAAAAGGCAGCTTTAAACAGGAATGTTACATTATTACAACAACCCTAAAATATATTTTGTTGCAAATTACAGAAAAAAAACCACCCACAGAATGACTTATGGAACATAATCTTTTTCCTTTTTAACTATTTCTAATTCTTCAGAAGGGCTTCTTAACTGCAGTGATTCATAAAGTACTCACATAATTGTCTTCATTACATAATTTCTATATCAACAGATGATTAATCCTTATTCTGATTTGCTACAGAATAAGGAATTAATCTGTTCATCTTTAATTTAGGGAGAGGAAGGAGGGAAGTTCAGAGAGGTTTATGTTTTTTTATTACTCTGTTCTTGAGTTCTGTCCTTCCTCAGAATACTTGAGCTTCCTTTGGTTTGGAAAGAATAAATCTAACCACAGACACTTCATTTTCCTTCTTTGCTACTATCTCTTTCCTTGCAAATAAAAGCCTCTGCTGTCACTCAACATTTAGGTACCTCATGAGATAATGCAGAGAAGTGGTTTCCTGTCTTGTGTAACTGGACAAGTTTATATTAAGATTTAAGCAGAAAGCTGGGTGGATGCTAACTGTGCTTCTCTGTATTTTTTTTTTTTTCTACAGAAAAGCTAAAAATACCTTGGACTGAATGTTAATCTAGTGAATTTCTATGTCTGTATAGCAAAGGAAACAGTTTTTGGTTACCTAGCCCCATTTCAAAGCTGAACACATGAAGGCAGAGAGATGTTACAAGACCTACTGGTGGCTGTACAGACAGACACCAGTAACCAAGTCAAGGATGTAAATGGGGAGTTGTGAACTTTTCCCCCATACTCCAGCCCAGCTGTTGCTCTCACCAATGCATCACACTTAAAAAATGGTTGCTCTAGGGTACCATTGTGCTAAGAATGTTCTATTTAACTGACAAGATGACCACTGGCAGTAAGAAAGCCCTGCTGTTTTGAAACATCTGAGGCTCACTTCATTTCCAGACAGGTCTCAAAAGGGAAGTTGTTCAGGGCCCAAAGGAGTGATTCTGTACGCAGAACAGGACTAATATTTGCAATATCATCCGTGATTCTGTACGCAGAACAGGACTAATATTTCTGCAATATCATCCTTAAGGTAGTAAATTTAAAATGTTACTAATTCATGCATTTTACAAAGCTCTAACTTTTGGGAAAACCCATGACAGCACTGCTTTCTTTGGAGGATATCATCCCAATGCAAAGGTCCTATCCAAGGATCTGCAGAGCTCTTTAGGAATAGGTATCAGCAACATTACCTTTGCAGAAGGATATAAAGGAGCTGAAAGCCAGCTCCTGGGGTTTTTAAATCTCCTCAAAGCTAGACTTCAATTTAATATTGGCATGTAGTTTTACTGACTGGTGATCTCTGCCTTTCTCTCCTGAATGCAGACATCAACCAGCCCACACATTTCTACAGGGCAGCTCGAGTGGGACATGCTACAGCACACCAGGATCTACCAGCCTGGGCCAGCAGCTGTAGCACAGCTGAGGGAAGGGGAGAACTAAACTGCAGCTCAGGACAGTGACACCTCCAAGAGAGAAGGTGGGAGTGAACTGAGTAAAGCTCCTTTTGCCACCTCTCTCCAAGAATATCATGATCTATTTAACACCATGCCCTGACAGTAAAAGCCTCTAAATACTAATGATATTTGCCAGTTTTCAGAACAGCTTGTGATCAAATCAACAAGTCTAAAGTGTGAAAACATAGTACACACACTTACCAAAGCTTGTTGTAGGCGTCTAGACATTCTGGTTTTACATTGTGAACTGAAACAACAACATTACATGAGAAATGCAGGAACAGAATAAAGAAATGGTAATGTTAAATATAAAAATGTCACTCACTCTGTAGTTTATACAGACTGCTGGTCTCTCTTTTGGCTAGAAGGTTGGAGTGAGCATCTTTCCTTGGATCGACTTTGCGAACAAAGAGCGATTTTAACCAGCTGTCCTCACGAGGTCTGTGAGCTGAAGAGACCAGCCCCCTACACACCAACAACACACGACACTGTCACTGAGCATGTCCTGACAGTGCCCACCAGGCAGGGAAGACAGGCACAACCAAGTTTAATGCAAACAGGAGCATAACACACAGTCACTAAAACTTTCCACTGGCCACTTCCTAGCACAGCACAGGCAGTTCTGTCCCCGCTCAGCTTTACCTTCCCACTAAGCATTTTACTGGACACAGAGCAAACCAGTTCACCATCCACTTTTATTCTTTGTACTCGTGGCAAGGAATGGGTGGGTGGCTGCTTCTGCTGCCCATTCATCTTCTTTTTAATCAAGTGTCTTTGCTGAAGAGGCCAGGTCTGTCCTGATGTACACAGACAGGAGTGAAAAAGAGCAGAGAGACAGGGTGCATGAGGAAAGACGTGTACAGCCTGAAAGGAATGCAGCTGCCATATGTTCCTGTGCTGCTTAAATATAGCTCTAAAAAAGGGAAAAGTTAACTAGCACATCTCTCAAGAGAAAAAACATAATGAAAGTCTAATTCGGGAAAAATTACAAGTGGCAAGAAACAAACAGCCTGCAAATCTTTCAAATCACAGCAGCTGTTCTATGTAGGGGTACAGAGCCACAATCTTTGCACAAACTCAGGATTTCCCTTTGAAATGGAAGAATTTCACTGTCTTTTTTCATCTCATCCCCACGCAGCTTCTGCAAGGACACTTCCAAATGATGCCACTTCTCTCTACACCACAGACTGCACAAACCACTACAATTCATAACTGTACCCTATTCTTCTCTTTGCCAGCTCACAGACCAATCACCAAAAACTGTGCAGAAAGTCAAGAAAGCTGATGTACAGAACTGATTCTTTACAATATTTGACATGTGAGCCCAAGCTCAAATATTTTTATTTTTTTTTCATAACAAACACTTCAATTTGCCTCTTTTTGATATGAGGTTTCTGCTGAAATACTAAAATATCTCTCTGACATACTAGAAATGTGCCACTAAAGCTGGAAATTACCTTTTCTTGCCTCAAGAAGTCAACTCTTCCCCCTTAATTACTGATAGGAGATCCAGAAAACAGCTATCAATCTTCAGCTATGGAGCTCTCTTTCAGGTATCCAAAGTTTGTGACAATCATCCAAGGGAAAAAAAAATAGGGAA